TATTTCTTATTCACATTTTTTAATAGTTTGTGATTGTTTATTATGTTAAGTACTTTGTGAAGCTCCTTTAAAGCGGCTCATTTATAAAGTTATTCTGTCTCTCAGATGCTGTAAGTCAGCTTTGCTCACATTCATTACTCTTTTACAGAGAGGACAATCCCAGAATGCATTGCACAAGATCTCTGGAAAAAGAAAAAAAAAATCCATTGAAGATGGGAGAAATGTTGATTATATAGAGGTGTGTATAATTTATTCTGAGATGTATTGATAAAATGTGCAGTCCAATTTAAAAACAGAGTATTTTATCAGCCTTTAGTGTGCTGCTTTCATGTTTGTTAGTGTGCTGTGTTGCTTTCTCAGTCTCTTGTGTGTCACATGACCAGGGTTATTTATTATGTATTTATTAGAAGTGTGTTTTATGTTTTAGAAGCTTTGTTTTAATATTTTGATGTTCTTAAACACTCATTATGAAATGAGTTTCAAGCTTGTTTTGACTGCCTTCTATAATATGCAGTTATCAGGGAGTGTTATCAGAACATTCCTCCAGTAATGTTAATAAAACATTCATTCAAAGTTATCTGGTTTTTAATAACGTTCTCAAAACATTAGCACAAAAACATAATTCATTCTTTTTTTTTTCTTTCATTTGAACGTTCGTCTAACGCTTTTTAAATGTTGCTACTTGTTTCAGAACATTCAAAAGTAACGTTCACATAATGTTTGCAAAATGATACAATGGAACGTTTCCGTAACGTTCGAATAACCAAGAAAGAACAATTCAAGAACACTCAGAAATAATGTTTTCATAACTTGATGGGAACATTACCAAAACATTCTTAGAACACGTTTTTGTTAGCTGTTTCAGTTCAGTTTACATGAAGAAATGTTGGAAACCGAGTCTTTTAAGTTGAAATAGAAGATTAAATGCATGTTGAGAATTGTAATATTTAGGATGCTTGCAGTACAAAATATAACGATGTTCTACTAAGTAACATTAGTAATCATTCTAGAATATATTAAATGAAATTGACACATGAAACTAACTTGATATTTATTACTTAGTTTGATCAGCAAGTGTAAATGCCTTTACTTTTTTACCACATTCCTTCACTACAATTTTACCTGCTTTGCAAAAATCAGGCGACCAGTTTCCAAACTTGTCAGAATTTCCAGAGAGTGTTTCAAATCAGTCCCTTATGAGTCTGTACCAGTGTTAATTTTGACAGCAAATTTTGATTTAGTTTTAGTCATAGTCTTTTGACTAAAATGCCATTTAGTTTTAGTCATATTTTAGTCATCTTTTTAGTTTTAATCGACTAAATATCATACAATTTTAGTTGACTAAATCACTAAAATGGCATTTAGTTTTAGTCATATCTTAGTCATCTGAATTGTTTTTAGTTTTAGTCTAGTTTTAGTTTTTAGGTTTTAGTCGACTAAATCTACAGTAAATTTAGTCGGCTAAAATCTAATGGGTTTAGTTACAGTGCGTTTATTAAGCATTTCTCTAAAATTTCCAAACTCATTATATACAATAGGTTTGATATTAAGGTTTTATCATGATAGACACTGATTTAACTGCGGTGACACATAACATGCCTTTATGTTAAAATTAAATAAAACCACTTCTCATAAAATATGGGCTGTAATGCTGGACAGAATGATGATTTTATTAATCATCTCCAATCTACACACTCATACTCTGAACAGAATCTGATGTTTTTCAGTGAATTGAACAGATATGATTAGAAGCGCATCTGAATGTCACAGATTGTCTGTGAATGAAGACATTGTCACAGCTACAGAAGCATTACTCCGTACAGAAACATCTGGAAAGTACATGGTGCATGTAATGCATCCTCAGCCGCTCGGTTCCCTGAGAGAGACATTATTCTCAAAAAAACCACGACATTCAGAAACACGTCCCGCATCAGTGCATGCTATTTTAAAGAAGACGTTAAACAAAATCAAATGCATTTTTCTGCATTTCTTGTCTTTTCTGATGATCACATAATTCACATCTCACAATCCACTCGAGTAAAAGTCTAGCA